TATGAAAAGGACAGATGTTCATCTCCGTGGAATTATCTTACATTTCTGACGTAGGATTATTACCATGGAATGCACTGTTCGTACAAATCGGTTTTGTGAGCACAGTGTGACATTATGTCGCCGGATTTGGATTGCTTGCGCTTTAGCTAAAATGCTCGACCTAATCACCTTTGATAAACGACTGTGAACCAAGTAAAGGAGTCGAAACTCCTCGACCACGTTAGCCACGTGGTTTGACTCCCATAGGTGTGAAATAATCGAACTATTGATGGTCCTACTTATCCCACTAATCATCTAGGCCAGGTGGTGCTCACAGACTGGTTCTGATAAAAATCTGCACTCACGAACATTATACATCTTGCGCTCCGGTGGTAGTGATTTTCTTAGGTAATCAGTGACGCCTCAAAATGTTGGTGACGAATCGTTGTGGATATCCGTTCTGAAAGAAATACTCTAAAATGAACCTCAGTTCAGTCTCAGCGGTGTCGTCTGTACCTATTCTCCGCACCCTTCACTTCACAAGCACTGATGATGTCACCTCGGCTGGTGATGAAACGTTTGCAAACAAAGTGCCAAGCTCGGCGAACAGGCGAAATGGAATTCAGTTCACCCGAGCTACGAAAACCGATTTTCAATATTTTGTCAGCACTTGTTTCTACTGTGGGCTTTTTTTACAAAATGAAATGATGATATCTTAGGAGAAGCGTATCACGATCGATTCGAAGAACAGCTAACAAGCCTTGAATGTCCTGAATGACACATTCAGAGTGCTCATCTGTGCTGAAATCTTGTTTGACTTTATGCACGGTATTGTTGTTGTTGCTGTCACGGCAGAGATTCGGTCATATCCCTAAGGTTACAGGTTGAAATTTTAGCTCCTACGTACAGTCTCGAACACTGCGTTTCACGCAGGCCTCAGTATGGTCGTGGGTGGGTGTTTTGGGTGGCGGTTGGTCACCCCCTTCCCTTGCACCTCGCAAAATGCTCTCATACAACCAAGCGTCTCAAATCGCCTCTGCTCAGGAAATCCTACTCACTGCGGAGGTGTTTTCCCACCAAGATGAGAGGACGAGTAGCCGACATCCGGGTTAGTGAATTACTAGCAGTTCATCTAGGAGAGTTGACTGAAAACCCTGATTCCAAACCAACCAAGAGGAGGCGTATTAACCACACACACACACACACACCTTCCTGGTTGTGGCAGTGGTCAAGGGCTCGATGGAGATCGAGGTGTATCAGGCACCTTGGACGTTTGACCCCGTCCAAGGAGCGTATGATCCGATGAACTATAGACATCGGCCCCCAATAGACTGTGGCTTTCACAGACCGTCTTACTACCTTGCCGGTAAGGCTTTGGTTAACCGAAGACTCCGGTTGTGGAGTGCTCAAGAAAATTCACTTGCCTTGGCCTGGGCTACCTGGCGGTATTTATCTCACATGCAAATCATAGAACGTTTTTCTTATTATAAGGATCATTGTACCGTGATTTGTTTGGCACAGTTTGGCCTCAGACGTGTGTGGAATACAATGAAGTACACGATTACGCTGACTACAACACAGACTGTATTTATAGCCAACCGTTTATATAACCTAGAATAAGTGCCCAAAGCGGTGATCAGTATTCGCCAAGCCCCTTCGCAAATAGATATGACGTAATCAAAGTCGTGTTGGGAGAGGGTTTCAAAGACATAAAGAGGGAGAATCGAAAACAAACTCACATTCCATCGATAGCCGGTCATGAAAGGAATTTCGGGTGAGTCATCGTAGATCGCATGCCTCAGGTTTTCCATCACTGCGTAAGTGTCATCGTCGGCTTTGAAAAAGTAATCGAAATTATCCCGTTCCGTGTAGATCTGACGAAGAATTTTACGCATTTTGTACCACAGATGCATCCGTGTTTCCGGTTTGGTCAAGTTCAGTCCTGAAATCCACAGTAACCATATACAATTGTCGCTCTTTCTCTTTATCCCGTTATACAGATATAAATGCCTTAACCAAATGCGTGCAAATAAAAAGTTATTTTCTCGACACCCGATCCTCAAGGTATAATTCATGTCGATTTAGCAATACCGGGTGAGTGGCACAGATGAAATTTTAAAAAAACCAATAGATTCCAAAGCGATGGAATCTAGGTCGAGTTTTGTGAGTGTGTCAATCGGATCTGATTTCGGTTGTCAAAATAACAAAACTACTGTTCACGGGGATTTTATTGAATTCTGTCCAACGTAACTGGCAGATGATGCGTTTGTGAGACGGTGTACTGTACGTCATCTGTCGGTTTATCGACCGTAGACAGTGATTTGAATGCACCACGATAACAAAACCCACCGTTTTGAAGTAGCATATTCCGGGGAAAAAATGTACAACTTATTCGTTTGCGCTTCACTTCAAAAACCGCATACAGATGAATAAAGTGTATAGGTATATTTAAACAATTCTACCGTGTTAATTTAATGAGCTATCCATTCTATTGGTACTGTATGTTTTGGGCAGTCGATTGACCGTCGACCGATAACGTTATGCATAAGACAAGATTAAAGTTTTTGTGTGGTGTTTTAGGTTTTTCACCATTGATTTTCCACTCAATGGTGGCAATAACAATGAACTCTCCGACAATAAACCTCTTCAGACGCATTCAATGGAAAAAACCCAACGATCTGACATGTGATTGCCGAAAGTTAAGCCACTCCGGGAATGATTGTGTCAGTAGTCTAGACTTTGATTGAAGCGCCCATCAAACTACATCTTTTCCCATCAAACGTTGGCCAAAATCCGCAGTCTTTAAACCTAAACCCATAGTCCTTTAATCATAACACCGGAGGCGAGTCCGATCAAAACGTTTCGGAATATTTTGAGATCAGCGGATGTGAAAATATTGTATTGTTGATGTGGAAGTGCTTGACTATGAAATGATATCGCATGCTGCACCAAATACTGATTGGCGGAGGTTTAAACGAGGTCCTCATATCGTCAAACCATTTGGAACATCTCAAGAGTGTTTCAGTGTTTCCGTATAACATGCGATACTCTTGTGAGTAAAAATCTTAAGTGTAAAACAAAACGATAAATTGCTTTGCACTCATAAATGAACTTTGCTCATGAGAAGTGCATACATAAATACCCCGAGAATAAGGAATACCTCCATAACTAGCATCAGTTTAATAACAGTGCAATATTTGACATAATTACAACGGTTGAAGCTCAAGAATTGCGGGTTTCGTCTATAGCTTGTTGGGAAACGGTGTGCTAAAGGGGGAGGGTCATTTTATTATGCTGGCCAGTTATTGTATCCATATTTCAAGAGCGAAGTTCATTTTAATTGATTATACGAAGCGGTACGGATTTAATTTTGTTGGATCACTTTTTATTTATATCAGAGTTTGTGAATGCAAAGCAATTTACCTTTTGTGTTACACTTGGGATTTTTACTCAAGAGTATGGCCTGGTACACGGAAATACTGGAGCTGTATGAGATGTGCCAAATGATTTGACGATACGTTTCAACCTTCACCAATCAGTATTTGGTGCAGCATACGATAATTTTTCTTAACCAAGTTTTGCAACATTAACATTGGAAGAAAAAATGATGGTTCAACATCCGCTGACCTCAAAATGTTCCGAAAATTTCTGATTTAACTCGCCTACTGTAGCGTGACTAAAGTTTGTATCGAGGCCAAAGGACTATTGGTCGTGGCTAAAGGAATACGGGTTTTGGTTAAACGATTACGACTCTGCTAGTTTAGGTTAAAGCCGGATGGGAAAATATGTAGCAGGTCTCTTTTGTGATGATACATTTAAACATTTCGGGGGCCAGAAAGTGAATCGAATCCTTATTGTGCTGGATAAAAGGATTGGATTGATGTCTTTTCTATGCCCGGTGCTGACTTCACTAAATTATCACCCCGGGGATGTGTGCTTCAATCCCACTATCACCACCTGACTTTCCCCATTGGGTGTGTGTTGAATGGCAGTTCTTTTGATTGGTTGCTTCCCCATTCCTGAAAATTGTATCTTTGTATATTCAATAAAAAGAAGTAAAATGAAAAAAGAAAAAGGATACATGACTGTTGATTCGGAGGCTCAGTTGTAGGAGTTTTAATTAACGATATGAGAGTTGGAGTTTTAAATCCCGGTTGGTATACTACAGTCAATCTCCTGCTATGTCGCACCCCTGAGAAGTCGCATTTTTCAATATCTTTCCATTTGTTGGAAAACCCAAACCAACCGTATGCGTAACAACGACCCTGCGATGTCGCCCCTCTCACCATGTCGCAGTTCCTGATACCTACTCACTTGGTCGTTGACCGATATTCGGGAGGGCCATTGACCAGCCAACCTGTAAAATATCGCACCTAGTTAATGGCGTTTCATCTAGTGTGACGCGAACATGGCATTATTCACTGATTGGATAATCTTTGTGAAGAAGACACACCTATGCCAACAATCGAAGACAGTGCCAGCGCCCATCGATCAGAACGTGTGGGAATCAGACAAGTATAACTCGCAGCTATGTAATCGATTCTCTAAGTATTTCAAGAAAAACTGTTAACAGGATCATATCCCATAGAACCACCCGTAGAGGAGAGCAGCATATGTAAATGCGGTTGAAGACTTTACTCACTGTGTGTCTTGATGAACGTCTTTCTGAAGAATAAGTCACCTGTTTAGAAATTCATGAAGAATTGGATTATCAACATTTTTTGCATCAAGTCNCGTTTTTAGTCATTAGATGTACTCGTTTCGCAAAGAAGATGAATTTGGAGCATTTAATGCGCCGGAAGTTATGTAAATGGGAGAAGCACCGGATCCATTGAACTGCTTGCGTTGGCCAATACTCGGGTTTCAGGTCCATTCCTGGATGGTACATTTGATTTGAACAATGTGTTTGTCGATTTCCAAAGGAGAATCAACCTGGGGTAAACGACAGCTTAAAATTGTCAGCTTCAAGAGTTTTTCTTCTGCAGTTCTATGGGGCACTCGAATGTGATCATTTTTTTCGTGATCAGCAAAGCCACAGTCATGCGATCTATCGATGGACTCTGTCACATTAGCGTGCAAACGGGTGAATGATAATCGCGGTTGACTGGTATGCGGATGTGGATTTCAGATCCAAACGATCGATAACCGCCGTTGCGGTGACTCGCCTGTGTGAATGAATGAACGATAATCGCACTTGTCTTTGCTAGAGCACCGACGAAATTGGACAGATCATTGGGCATAGGTCATCGTAAACTGTGTCCGACGCGGCCCTGACTGTTTGGACAATGCGCTTTTAACTTGTGAATCACAGATTGAACTTAGTCCGTCACTTGGGTTTACCGACACTGGCCACAACGAATGTATCAATCGGCAGCAGCAAAAGCGAATGAATGAATGTCTACAGAGATAGTGCTACATATTTTTGATCAGAAAATCATAAATGGAGAACAATAAACCGCGAACAACCGGTTTGGAACGTGGAAAAGATATCAGTGATGCTAAACATACCCCGTAATAGTTATTTCACTTACGAATTGATCTCTTTCGAATGTAATTTTTTCCCGTCTTTTCAATGTGCTCGACCTGGTTCATTCTTGTTTTCATCGAATAGGTTACTATTGATGTTGTGATTATTATAGCTAAAACAGTTGTATATTATGGTGGACGCCATATACTCAATTCTGTGATTAGCCTAACATTTCCAAGGAATGAAGGAACATCTGGAATTAATACGAGGTATTTTGATTAGAAAAGATTCTCTGAAGATAGGCAGGTATGCTCGGGATATCTAGACGCTGGATACTGAAAAAGAGCTGAATACCGGATGTACTAATATTAATCTGAGGGAATCATAAAAAATCAATTTCTCCGATATATAAAGAATATGTGGGATGGTATATTGAAATTCCATCATAAATAAACACCACATAATTAAAAACATTGGAACAAGTAACGGAATTGACGCAATTTTCATCCATGCGGTTTATTTTGTCACAAAACCCTGAACCGATTTTTCATACTACTTAATAGCATCTACTACTGGCTAACCTGCTATGTCGCAGTTCCTGAAATTCACCTACTTTTTCGAATTTCGGAGTGGTGTAACATTGCAGGAGATTGACTTTACTGCTACTAATGATTGCAATAATAATGCGCTAGGAAATCAAATCGAATAGTTAGGGATTACGACAATAAAACTAAGATCCAATTCATAAATCGGTCATTGTGGGTCAAAGTCGTCTGTGATAGAATCATGGTGTACATCACTCAATTTACAATCTTCAAAGTCATACTTCTATTGTCGATAAATTGCTTCATTATCAAAATAGATTGAATCCTGAGGACAATGACGGGATTGAATAAACCAATTAGTGATCGAATATCTGTAACCGAAACAGGATATGTCATCCACTAGCACATTGTTCGGTCATCTCTTATCACTCTCTCTCTCCATCCCGTTTCATATAAGAGCTTCCAATTCCTTGCAGATTTGTTCAACCGACAAGGCAACTACTATAACGTTTTCATGTCAAGTTGTCCCAGTATCATATCATGCTGTCCAGGAATCATTTCAAACTGTCCCCGGATTATTTCAAGCTGTCACACTGACCTCAACGGTGCTGAGAAGCTTCCCAGCGCGTTCCGGATGACTACCATGCAACTCCGATTTCTCTACCTCCCGTTAAAGTGCGGGGGTCGGTTATGGAATGGGCTTCGGTCAGTCACGCCTCAATTCCCATGAAATACATATCAATCGTTTATCGCGCTAGTACGCGTACGCCTCTGTATGTGTATTATGTGTTTGTCCCCCTCCGCTGATACCAGTGAATCATGCGCGATCAACGCTTGAGCCAATACAGTGCGATTGCTCCATCGTCTCGTCCCTCTCATCCGTGACCTTAAACAAGTACATTCCTTCTTACCCTTTCTGTCATCTGATGATAATCCGCGATATGTGGCACTTAGACTCCTTCACCCCAACACGATACGGTCTGATTACCGACTTGTACGTTTTGTAATGCTCTTGTTGTAACAAGCCCAGTCCATCCGAGTGCTGATGGCACGCCTGCTGCACAGTCGAAGTTCACTGGGCCTGCCCGAGACGCACGGCTGTAAAAAAAGGTGTGGTTTCTCGCTCGGGTTAGCTGGGCCAGTACCAGGGCCCTTGTTACGGCTGAACCATTCGGCCGATCGATAAATGAACTCGATCGGTCGTGTGCTTTTCGGGCCGGCCGAGGAGGAGGATAGGTTACGAATCCGATGCTGCCTAAATGTTGATAGAGGATCACAAGAGAACGCATTCGAGAACCCAGATATGTGTACAAATACAGATTTTAATAACATAGTCATCACAGAATGGTTTGTTATGCGCTATCCTAATGGATACACAAGACAGATAGGTATGTCACATTGAATACTTGCGGTTATTGATTTTCAACCTGTGAACATCTCATTTGCTGACTTAACAAACTATCTCACTTTGGTCATTGATATCCGTGGAACGCTAAGGGGAAAACCCCCAGCAGAAGAATTCCACACACACACACACACACACACACACACACTAGATGCAGTCAGTGTAGTCTGTCGGAATAATGTAGATTGACGTTCGGTGATATTTACCCGGGGATTCCCAAAGTACCCAGTCACTCACACACTAGCATGTGCGTGTATGTGTGTGTACATACGTATGTTGTGGCAAGTTTAAATGAAGCGAAGGGAGTGAAAGGAGGATACTTTTCTCGACCGAACGATGAATGTAAACAAGACAAATCGGGACAGTCTATTCAGCCGTAGGGCAATGAGTGCGTGCGTGGAAATCAGGACAGTGAAATGACTTCTGATCCAGATTCTAAAAAGCATCAGTAAAACAAAACATTTTACAACCACCATCGCCAATAATCCAGATTACGGATGGCCGTTACGCTTGCTGAGAAATAGGTTAGAAAACAACATTGGAAAGTGGTAATCGAAAACGATCGTTTTGCTGCTTCGTTCGAAGTTGCTCCCCATGGGGAAGTGGTTGTATTCGTTGCCCGCAATTGACAAAAATGCTGGACTGACGATTTTTAAGCAAATACAGACTCGAGTTGCACTATCCGGATAGACGCATTGCTGAAGAGCATTGCATTGGCGAAGTGGAAACCGAGTGTTCGCTGGGATTGAGGAAGCCAGTTGTACCGGCTGATTCCATCTGAATACTGGACAAGTCCTTCCCGGGACACAAACCGTGAACACGATGGGTACGAGCTAAATTTCTGAGTGACACGATTAGTCTTAGAACAGTACTCGCTATTCCTGATCCCGGCTGCAGAAAACCACTTGGAGGTCAAATAGTGACATGGAGACGAGGCAGGATGAAATGCACAAAGCAATTAGGTAAATTGTGCCTCTCGGTTTACAGGCTATGGTCCCAAATACTCCGCAACTGTTTGGTTGGTGACACTGAAGAGCCCACAGCAGACCAGAAAGCCTGAAAACGTATGCATGCACACTTGGACTATGTACTCGGTGTGTTGACCGTAGAGTATTGTGTTCCCCCCCCCCTCGTCTCTCCCTTCTCCTCGATCAAAACAGATGGCTACCTTGCATGTTCTTACTCACCGTGGATGTATTGTGAGGTTGGCAGCAACCAGAGAAGTTCACTTTGCTGTATTCCGCTGGACAATGCTGATGAAAATGATAGTGATGATTTCAGTACTCTATAGATAGTGTGATTTTCACATCACGCGGTCGTTAACAGCTCGATCCCGATTGGATATTTTTACATCAACGATCACGCATCTTTCTTTTTAAAATTCATTTTTTTGCCCGTTAAACATTGATCAAATGCTCACAATTGGTTCAACTCCACAATCTTTAATGTGCCGATTCCTTATCCCACCTAACAGCGTATCACTTGTGTAAATAATCGACATTCCCGTCTGTAAGCAAGACGAAAACTGATGTATGTTTTGCGTGAATATCGTTCATCGCCTGTGAATAACATTCAATCGGGTGATAGTTCAAGTCATGAAGAGAAACGATCTGATCACGTTTAACCAATTTAGCAAATTTCCCAACCACTTCTCCTCTATTCACACCGCCATAAGCATCGCAACCTGATCTCTATCTCTTTCGAATTTCCAGCTTTACTTCAGATAGGTAAGGTACTGGTCAACTGTGTCATCTAATGAGAATGTTTTACTACCAGACGTAACGTGTTCGCTCAAAAGACAGTGTAAAAGTGTATCTATGCCTAATGCCACGCAACTGCGTGTGTATCTGGTACACTCTTATTGTGCTTTCACCCATAACCTAGATGTGATTTCGCGTCGTTATGCGACTTAGCCAGTGCACCCAGTT